CATGTCGGTGAAGAGCAGAGGAAAAGGAGAATGCACACTGAAGGCCATCATAAAGGACAGCTCTAGAGTGTGCACCCACACCGATAATTTGGCCACCATCATCAGAGCGGCCCCACCTATATGATGGACTTCCAGCTGTATCAAATTCAGAAGGGATGCAATTGCGTCGGCAATGTGAGGCTGTTGCCTCAGAATCCACTGGAAGTGACTGAATTGCAGACATCTTAGCATTACTGTGCAAGGATGCTCCAAGACGCCCAATATAGGAGCCAATATTGTCTCGTTGGCATCTTATAAAGCAGAAGACTCTATCTGCAGCTTGCGTACATATATCAGCCGCTGGCTGGAACTCTGCAGCAAGGCCTTGCATAGAACATTGATCTGTCGAGGGCGTTTAAGGTTGATGACACGATACGCTGATGCGCGGCGAGAGCGGCTGACCGACAGAAGCATGAGAATGACCTCGATTTTGGCAATGTTAGGCCGGCAAGGCGACAAGCCGGTCCGTGCTATTGCCACCACGGGAGTCATTCACCACGAGGCAGCGAAAATGAAGCATCGTGGGAAGGCTCAGCCATCCTGAAGCTACACTGATGCTTCTGAACGCAAGAAGGCTCGGTGGACTTAGCGGTAGCAACGGCATCAGGCAGTAGGCACCCAGAAGACTGGGGCAAAGGACTGCCATTATGGCAAAGATGCGGGAAGACTGCCCAGCCAAGTCAGCATGGATGAAACGTGTTTTGATACATGTTAACGGTCTGGTCCGGTATCTCAAACAGGAACACAATTATGTTGCAAGTTTCAGCTAATATCTTACTTGTTTCAGTCTTTCTTTTACCATACCTAGTTTAATCACCCAAGCAGGCAAACTCTCGGCGGTGGCCTGCTAGGGCGGTATATAAGCCTACCACATGTACATACCAAAACAATCGAATTGGGAGGAGCTCGAGTCTCCTAGCCCACAGCCTACTTCTCAGCACTTCGTCGCTCAGCCAGCAGCTCTTTTCTATTGCCTTAGCTACAGTCACTAGGCGCATTCTCGCAGTTTCAGCTAAGTCCCAGCACCAATCACAGTGCACTTCATCATCATTACATCATCAGGCCCAGCCCACTAAGGCTCCAACATTTCTATCTATTTACTATGTTACATAGTTTTAACTGTTTACTATATCTGTTTATTTACAGTTGGGCCTGTACATAGTAAATAGATGTATATATATAGTATAAATAGTTTTATGATATTATAGGGCTGTTGAGTGTATAATTGCTAGATTTGACAGCACAACGGTGAGCCAATTGAAAGTTATAGTGTTTAACAGAAGTCACCACTGACAGTTTATCATCATGTAGGCTCATGAACATGAGTTTCTTGTCATTTCTTGTATGACATAAGATTTTCTGGTCATTCCTGGTGCAAGTGTTGACATCGAATGCTTGTTTTCTGCTCATTGTCATGTGCTTGCTGATGCACACAGGTCCTTAAAGGCCTCAACAATCACAGAGGCTGCTCACAGTTGAGTAAAACTCCATCAAAAGATGGGACCAAAAAAACTATATAAACGTTATATAAACTGTTTATATGATATATAGATAACAATTTACTATATACTATTTATTTACACCTCAGGAGTGTAAATAGTATAAATAGTTGGAGCCTTACAGCCCACCTAGCAACCGAAGATATTCCATCACACTTCCATGCTATGTCACTCAGTTACCCCTTTCAGCCCTACGTTCCCAGGACTCCTCAGAACCTGTCTGAGGCCTCGCTCTCATTGGCTTAGCCACCGGCGCTCTGACACCCTCCGATCAGAAATGCATATACGATCAGGTCCGACCCGCCTTCTTGCGACAATATTGCATTTCCGATCAGCTCCGGGCCATTTCTAGCCTTAGACGGTGGGTTTCATCCCAAATATAGTAGTTGGCCCAAGGATCTTCGCACATCGGACTTAACTGAGCTTCCCCACCATCCTCCGATCAGCATCCCATATACGATCAGCTTCGCTCCACCTCGCTGTGATCAAAACACATTTGCGATCAAGTCCGACGGTCCCACGCTTGGAGCCCCTTCCAAATACAGCCTTTCCTTCCCACACAACCCTAGTTCCTTTCCCAAGGCTCGATATTGGCTGCCCACACCGTCATTTGCCGATCTTGCGATTGTTGGCCGCACCTGCACACTACCCCAGTCCATTACCAACCCATTACCCATCCCTATTGCCAGTAGCTTCAAGTCACTAAACCAGCTTGCAGCAAACCCTTGCCAAAGTCGTCCCCCGCATACACCCACACAGCGGACCCCGGATTAGTGTTGGAGTAGCACGAGGCCAGGAGCTCCGCGGACGCATCAACGCCCTCCCATCGCAATGGGATGGATCCATTTGTTGACGAGGGAGAAGTCACATGCCTCTCTCGTTGAGAGAAAGGAGACAACTTCTGTAAGAATATCTTTGCTGGGAGCCCTCATCGACATCTAGCTATCGTGTCAGCAAAATTTGTTTCCATTATATGAATTGTGACCAACCTCCTAGTTCTCCAAGACAAGGGACAATGAGGATGTGGACATTAACGAGTTCGAACGGGCGCCCCAACTTGGTAGCTCCACCACGATACGCGCTACGTGTGCCTTAGTCAGCATGCCTGCTCGCTCTCTCCAGTGAGCTCATCTGGTGTGTCCAAGCAGCAACGGAGAGTGAGCTGAACGGGAAGCCAACGAGGCAGATGCGGATATAGGACTGACGAACGATGACTACTTCAGGCCAAGTGCGTTATCGACCTTCCACTCGAAAGCGATGCTCACGATGATCTTGTATAGGTTCTGCTCCAGAGCTGCTCCAGAGCGCCCGGTATCGACGAGATGCGGCAGTCGGCCATCGTACCTTGACGGTACCGCTTCCTCGCAGTTACTATGATTGCATGAACTCGTCTTTATCATTGTTGGATCCAGTCCTGTATACTTGCACAGAAGACGCGTTCGCCGTTCTTGTTCAGAGTGTTAATTTATATTGATGCATTATACACATCTCTGTGTATACTGAATGTGGTGACTTAAGTTGGGGACAGTCCTGATATTTGTCTCAAGCTTCACATAGTGATAGAATACAACATGTTTCACGAAGAAGCATTAGTTCTGCACAATCTCACTTCTCACATGACCGCGCAGCCTTCATATGCTGGTGGCCATAGGCAGTCTTACATATAATTATTTGGGTGAGCAAGGTTCGGATGTAGCTGTTCTGACTGGAGCATGGACTCTCATAAGTTCGACGGTGGGATACTTGGATCAAGCTGTGTGTTTGACACTTAGTGCCCGAAGGCTGCCCTACGGGCGCTAAGTGCGGTCTGTTCATACTTCACAGAGTGAACGAACATGAACCGTCTGATTCGTCTTCGGCAGCGGTTTCGTCGACAGTGGCTGTATCAAAAAGGAGCGAGGGCTGTACAAACAGCTTATTGGCAAGGCTATCTGACTTCGGCCTATGTTTCACTGCTCACCATACTGTTCACCCTGGCATTTGCGAAGTTCTCTTTACTCCTGTCACATTCATCGACATTGCTTGTATTACATGTAATATGTCTGTTTGACATTGTCACAATTGTGGGGGCATCAATGCGTGAGTTCATGCCACCATTGTGACAGCCTATAAGTCATGACCTTACTCGGAGATAGTCCTTGCCTGCCTTCATGGCGATACCATATCTAAACTTGTGCCTCTAGTGCTCTCCAATGGATTATATACCTTAATTCTTGTTTTTCTTGGCATATTCATGTTCTTGAACACCTCGGATGCCTCGCCCTCACGGCTGCAAACCTTGACATTCATCGGAGTATGTGCGATCGATGCTCTCACGATTTCCTCTGTGATGTCCTGTAAGCTCGCTATCTATGACCTGCATGCAATGCGCTGAACCTCATACAGGTCTTGCATTCAGCAGGGACTGTGCACAGGGTGCGGAGCAAAGCACACCCCACTCTCCTTTTATGATTGCCGTTATGGGAGTAGGAAAGAGATCAGTGCAATTGGGTGACAACTATGAACAATTCTACATCATTAACACTTTCTAATTAACCAATAGTCATCAATGAACAAACCACGGTTGAACATGTCTTGCAAATGTTAGCATCACGACACCTGATAGCGAAGACCTTGTGCCTCCGTCCTATGCTGCTTTATGATGGTCACAGCCATGCGCCTCTCGAGACAAAGCTCAATCTCTACGATGTTGGTGTACGTGACCTCTCGATTGTGCACTGTAGGTATCGTGTGCTGGGGGGTTCCAGACATCACGGTGAAGGTTCGTGCGGTCCCTTCTCAAGTGCTCAATGTTCTCATTGTTTTGTGTTTTGTAGCCATTGATGGGCAACATCTCCACCGGACAAGTGGAACAGTAGTGGTGTCTGATCTGCCAACCCGTAAGAATACCCCTGAGTTGATAGACTTGCTCTCAATGTGGACACAGGACCAGATTTCAATCTGAAAAGTACAGAAGCTGGACGCAGAACGGAGCTTCGGCGAGCCCAGCAGTTGCAGTCACGACAGACTCTCGAAATGGATGGGCTAGACGAATACGGTCAACCATTGCAGGGTGCCACAAAATTCGAGACCTCACGGAGCATAGGACAACGAATGGACGACAAAGAAAATACATCGGCCCCATCATCTTCGATGGGCGGCCAGTATGACCTCTCTCAGAAACACGACACGACATCACCCAAAGTCGCTCATGATCCTCCCTCACCATGCCTGAGCGATACCCATACAAGCAAACAATCCAGCGACTTATGTGCGACACGGCTAGATCAAGCATGGGCTGATCTCGACTATCTTCGTGCCTACGTCGTTCACCATATCTCTGCGGTCACAATTGTGGGCCCTCTTGAGTTCGAAGCTGATCCCGCCAAAGGAGGCAGTTATACCTCGAAAAGCACATATGGCATAACACGTCCCAACTCGGGCAGCCAGCGCCTAAACATTAAGAGCAGAAGCAATCGATTACTTCTAGAACATGAAACATGGCTCATCTCACTGCTTGCAGATGTGCAGGTGCTCGATTGTTGCGGTGATGCCCAACTTGAGCAGCAGTGTGCAGAATTATCTGCATGCCTTCACCGTGAACTGGGCTTGCTGGAGGAGTTTCAAGCGCAAGAGTGGTATAGACAGCAATCACGTATCAACGATGGAGGACATATGGTGACAGATCACAATGTTCAAGCTGGTATGCTGTCAGTTATGCCAGTTTTAGGCTCTCGCTGATCACATAGTCACTTAGATCAGTATTTCAAGTCCAGCTTCAGGAATCTGAGACCCGTAGTTCTCGCATATCACCTGGTCACCTTGACGATGCATCTGCTGCAACGTTTGCCTCGTCGAGGTAGTAACCTTCTTCTGTCAGGGCTGCGTACTCTCGTACGTTTGTCAACAGCATTCTCCAGGGGTGAAAATGATCACCCAGATGATGCTGCACTGTTGAAGGAGCTGCCCAGAGATATTCGGACTGTTTGCCATCGATTTGACCTTGACCCTCACACTTGTGCCTATGCATGTTGTCCGACCTGCTTCGCTCTGTTCAAACGGGAAGACTGTCCTGAATACTGCTCGAATCGCCAGTTCCCAAATAGCAATCCTTGTGGGTCACGACTATGGCGGATTCGTGACATTCATGGCAAAAGGTTCGCATATCCTTCGAAGATCTTTCTCTACCAGGATATGAAGAACTGGATGGCCCGGCTCCTTTCCTGTCCAGGAATTGAAAAAATGATGGATAGTGTAAATGAGCGCACTCGTGCCAGATCAGGCCCCACCCAGTCTAGACAGCAGGACATCTGGGATGCTCCGATCATCGAGACGTTCCGAGACCCAGAAGGACTTCGACCATTTACACATGGTCCTCCTGGTGAAGGAAGATACATTTTTAGCTTGTCCATCGATGGTTTTAATCCTTTCCACATGAAGGTTGCACAGCAACAAGTTTCTGTGACAGGAATCTACATGATATGCTTAAATCTACCTCCTCATTTGAGATATCTACCGGAGAATGCCTACCTGGTCGGGATCATTCCAGGTCCAACCAAGCCTTCCCTTGAACAAATCAACCATTTCCTCCGACCACTTGTTGACGATCTCTTGCAGTTTTGGCAGCCTGGAGTGTATATCAGCCGTACAGCTCTCTATCCTCGAGGACGGTTGGTTCGTTGTGCAGTCATACCGTTGGTTTGCGACCTTCCAGTGGCGCGACAGGTCTCTGGCCATGGCTCGTTCGGTGCGACATTTTTCTGCAGCTTTTGTAAACTTAAACTCGACGAAATCGAGAACTTCGAGCGTAGCACATGGCCCAGACGTGATGCCATGGAGCACCGCAGACGTGCAGAACAGTGGAAGGCTGCAGAGACCCCGGAGGCTCGTGCTCAATTATTCAAGGCTCACGGCGTACGATGGTCAGAGCTCCTCAGGCTTCCATATTGGGATTCCATTACATTCACGGTTGTCGACACCATGCACAATCAGTACCTTGGCTTGCTCAAAACTCATTGCAAAGATATCTGGGGTATGGATATTGATGTGGAAGATGGAGACGGTACATATGTGCATGATCACAAGGTACCGGCATACCCTTCTGACGCTGAGATGTCGGAGGGTTTGCGGCTTCTACACAATGGATCGATTGCGAAGCTAGCAAAATGCACCAAGGCAGTTCTGTGGCACCTTTGTTTTGAGCGCAACCTGCGGCGTGCAAAAAACAAAAGACAACTGTTGGACAGTCTGATAAAATGGGTGAGCTAAGGTCATACATCCTTCATAGCTTATGTATTCACGAGATATCAAATTGTAGCGAGTGCGGGAAGGCTTTGCAGCAGAGGACCCCTCAAGAAGCTCCATTGATTTGCAACAGCTTCCAGTACCCGTACCTTCCCTGCAGGCACCTATTGAAGAACGAGTCGCAAAAGCTGAGAGATCCCTAGCGCGAGGTAGCCAGGCGAAAACATTAGCCACTAATCCAAGGCCTGTATTGGTGGCATTGTGTGAAGCCAGGAAGATTGATGCCACCGGCGTGAAGGCTATGCTTGCATCACGACTTGTTTTGTGGGTGAGTGTTTATACAGTAGCTTGGAAACCTAGGTCAATGACTTCTTCCAAAGCGGGATTCGTCGAAATCCACTTGTGCTGCGTTAAATGCATCTGTGAGTGACAAATCCACTTCAAGCATAATAGCGGCTTCTCAGAGGTCGCTGAATCACATCAGAGCGGCAAGTCATCAGACAATGAGCAAACGTATGAACATAGTGGCAACGTGAGTGCTACTAAGCAGTTGTTCTAGTGCGAATCCTCATATTTTGTCCATCTTAGCAGACGCACATCCTGAACAGTGCTGGCAAGAGAGACGCTTCTACCGTTGTGCTAGGCCGTGAGATGCTTGCTCAAATTCACGAGGACATGCAGCGTACTCAAATTCCTTCGTGGGTCAATCCAGCACCATTCAACATTGGTACGGAACAACGGGGCAAGCTTCATGCTGACCAGTGGCTCTCGGCCTGCTCAATTAATTTTCCTATTACTCTCGTGCGACTATGGGGAAATGAACGTGAAAGTAGCAGGAAAGCAAGCCTCCTGTCTAACTTTATGGATCTTGTGACTGTCGTGACAATGAGCAGCTCACTCGAGGTGTCAGCTGAGCATATTAAAATCTATGACGCCTCGTTGATGCGATATCTACGAACATTGAAGGACCTTTACAAGGAAGCTGCTATCAAACCTAACCATCACCTAGCGTTGCACGTCAGTGAGTGCCTACGGGTGTTTGGTCCGGCCCGTTCAATCAGGACTTTCTTTGCTGAACGGATGAATTATCTGCTCATGAGGCAGAATACCAGTGGCAAGTTCGGTGTGTTGATCTCCAACGACAGAGAGGAGGCACTAGGCTGACATTGTGCAAAGGAGCAATCGAAGTGACATATATGAATCATGCATGTCGTGCCGCCAACCTACGTGGTTTGCTACAGGATGACTGGATTCGTAGCATTATGGATGAATTCTTGACGGCTTATGAGGACCATGATCATGAAGATCAACGAGGAACCAGGCTACGTGACTCAGCCGCCTTAGACAGAACGCCTCGAGGGATTGCAGAGAAACCAAAAAAGACCATGAAACTTATGGATGACAACTTCGTAGCCCTGCTTGCACTATTGAATCGAGAGGTCGGAAAGGAGCTGTACGTTGACTTGCGGGAGTTGAGAAGAACTGAAGGATACCAACAATTATCAAATTCAGTTATCCGTTGCAAGAGTGTTGGGAATGCCCGGAGGGAGCAATCCGAGAGCACCCAGTGAAGACATTGTGGCTGGCGCCACATTACGTAATATTCCAAATATGTACTTATATATAAAGTAATCCTAATTAGGGAGCTCGGCATATAAGCCCGAGCTCTCCTTGCCCAGCTCCATCATCCGCTTGCTCGTCCTCCCGGATTCTGGCGAATGCTACAGGTTATGAGCTCCGGCAGTGCTGTATAAACACATAATACGGCTATCTGAGTCTACTAGCGAAAAATCTACGAGATATATATAAAAGTGCGGAATTACCCCTATGCCGAAGAACACTGACCATGCGGATTCTCACAATCCGTACCGCATGCCATACCTCACGGAGGACAATTGGCTTCCGTGGAAGAGGCGTGTG